CATAGTCTCGTCGTCCGGCACCGTTAATATTAGGCTCGTTAATGTAAATATGCACCAAACACGTATTCGGCAATACCTGTTTTTACTGCAGCCAAACCTCCGCCAATAGCTGCAGAGCTACCGATAACAGCCAGTGTTGAGAGTGCAACAATAAGCTTAAGTCTCGTAAAAGAACTTGTCGTTTGAGTTGTGTCATCCTTAGTCACAAAATGAAAAAAAAATGTTTTCAAATTAAGACGGATATATATTTCATGAACCCAACATGAATTTCTATGTGTGAATTTCAAGCGTAAGGTTCATACTAGTAAGCTCATAACAGCTTATCATCCAAGGCAACGCCGATCATGGTTAACGTTCGACTTCATTCACTGTCCTTTAAAGTCTCGGTTGAGGTTGTAACCTATGAATTCTCTCAGTTTGGGTATATCAAACGAACATACAGCTTATAGTTTCAGTAATCGTATATTTTATTGTCATCTCTCATATTCGACTACGTCAAGCATTGAAGTTGAAAAAAAAGAGTCGGTCACGTGGAATCAAATAAATTTCAATTTACATCTCAGTTAATGCCAATCACACAGAAATTCTACTCACAGAAATTTTAAACGTCAAATGTGCAATCACGACTTACCAAAACGATCAAAAAAATATATTGTCTTCACAAATGTAGAAAATCACACTTGCGCGCAGTAACTGGTCGGATTGCGCCAGCGCTAATCGCTGATAGCGACTTGACAACACAAACGAAGTGCACAATTCGAGTACGTAAACAAACGCAACCAGATCGGCAGATGATTATGACATTCGAAACAACCTTGTGAATCAACACATTGGAAAATCGGATAACTATCTTCTTATACAGTACTGTTGTACCTGGATTGTTGTTCCGGGGATTGCACGTCGCAATATAGTGATTGCCATTGATACTCGATCGTTTGACTGCAAACATTAAAATCGTCTTCCGATTTTGACAATTCACTACCGATTTCACGATACAAAACAATTCTGTAAGTTTCGAAGTATATGAAGATTTTTCATATCCAGGAAACAAATCTTCATTAATCTCTCAACTGCAGGTAATTAACCATTTTCAGAATAGCACTTTTAAAACTTACCGTTTCTTTTGGTGCAACTCGCAATCGATTCATATTAATAGAGAACGCTGTGTTCTTAGTAGGTGTTGGATATACTCCAGATACTGCGTTTGCCAGTGTAATAAGTGATCAGTTCAGCGTTAAATTAAATATGTTTTGCATTCATTCGTTGCCTATACCAGCAGGAACAGATTTGCCCATCAATGTAGCTTAGTTTATATATATATATATACATATCTTTACAAAATCTTCAGCTTCAGGATGGGTTTAATTTCGTTAACACGGTCGTTATTTTGTGTAACACAATACGTCTAGTGAACCAGAGGAGTTTCCGATCTAAACAGAGCATTATATATGGTTACAAATGAACAAGTGAAGTTCTAGATTTTTCAAAATATAATGCTCATATTATGCATGCGTTCGTATTCATCATATAAAGTGAACTTATGCGTATCACTTTTCCGGTAAAAGTGAACGACAGCTGATATTTTATAATCACATGGATCCGTGGTACATCGTGTCCATTTCACAATGTAATCTCATCCCTACAATTAATTAAATAAAAAGTTAGTATATTAGTCTTATTTTTGACTCGTTGTTAACATAACTCTGTACTATGGTATTGGTGATATATGAATTGGGTGCCATAGGATCCGTGGTACATCGTGTCCATATCACAATGTAATCTCATCCCTACAATTAATTAAATCAAAAGTTAGTATATTAGTTTAGTCTTATTTTTGATTTGCTGTTAACATAACTCCGTAGTATGGTATTGTT